AATACAACTATATTTTATTTATTTTAAAGAGCAGTTTCAGAAATAATTGTTGAGCCTGTTATGTGAGGTAAATAATGTTCAAAGACCGCAGATGTAATGGTTAACAAGACATTCATGGTTATTTCCTCCAAAAAGAAATAAATAACTTTCATATAAGAAATAAGATGCAGGGCCTCCCCTGTGGCGCAGTGGTTGAGCGCTGGGCTGCGAAGCTACCCTCAGCCTTTGCAGTGCCGGTTCGATCCCTGGCCACCGGGGAGGTTCCCAAATGGCGCACAGACTTTTCCTGCCATGACAGTTGCTCCCCTCAGCAGTATACTTCAGTCCTTCTGCCTGTTCTGCTCCCCACTCTGGCTCTGGTGAATTCTCTCACTCCCCACCCCCGTGCTTCTGACTGTACACATTGCTTGTACAGATAAATAAATCTTAAAATAAAAAGAAATAAGATGCAAATATAAACAAGAAAACATACTAATATCAGAGCTATTAAAGTCTGGAAGACTGGAAGACAATCTGATGATGTGGGGGATGTAATATGATAAAAATTAGATAAAATTAATCATTACCACTTGCATATCTTTCAATATAGTTTAAAATATAAGACTGAAAACAACAATAAGTATGAGAGATATTAAAATATTTCAAAAAAAGTTTCATTTGAAAGATAACTGAGGTCACATTTGGTGAGGTCACATTTGATTTTGATGAGCAGAAACATATACTATGTATCTGGAAAAAAGAATGTCATTTCTCTCCAAATTACCCTAAAATATAATCAATTCCTAAATTAAATTTCAAAATAATTTCTTTATTTGGAACTTAACCAAATATTTTTAATATTGTTGGAAAATTGATGGCATGAGAATAACCAAGATAATGTTTATTAATAAGATGAAGGGTAAGATCACCTTGTATTACATTAAGAAAATGCAAAACTGCAAATTAAAGAATATACTATTAATGCAGAAAGAGTCTGAAAGCCCAAACAAAACAAATTTCAAAAGGTGTTTTAAATAGAATACAGCTACTTTAAATAGAAGAACACAACTGTTTTTAAATATAAGAATAGTGTACAGGTTCAATCCAATGTACAAAAGATACTTGAATAATCTGCTCATAAGTGATAGGATTTTTTCACAAGAATATCCACACATGTTCTACTTTAAGTGATCACATATGAAACGATAACTTAAAAAAATCCATTTGTCAAAATTAGAAAGTCAGCAAAGCCTGCAAAGTCAGGTGCAAATACCAATGTTAATAGAATAAACTTTGCAGAAGTTCTTTGGAAGAGAGTCCATAGCTGGGTTTAGGAATTAAATGTATTAAAGACGGGAAAGCAAGTTGAACAATCGTTGGAATCATAAGTGGCTACTCTCCAAAAACTGCATTAAGGAGTATAAAGAAGTTGGTAAGAAGGCTAAATTAATGTCCTTTGCCTAAGTCATTATTAGAGGAGGAGGACCTTAGGAATATTATAATTGTTGGCTAAATAAGCAGCCTCGAGCTTCAATTAGTTACACAGTAGAAAGACTGTCTGACTCAAAATAAACCAGAATGTGAGAACTACAGAACAGATAAATTTTATTTCCAGTTTTGAAATTTACTGAATAGAATCAGTAAATAATTGAAAGCAAAGCAAATAGGGTTTTATATAAAGAATAGCTACCCATTAATGGACTTCAGTATTTAGATAAAAACCACATGTGACATAGGGAATTCTTTTCAACCTTTTTCTTCAAAGGGATTTTAAAATGTTTTGATTCAGGAAAATAAAAATGCCATGTAAGGTTTTAAGGAGGCCTATCTCCCATTAGAAATGGAACAGCAATGATAAAAATGCACATTTGATAAACAATGGCATTCTTTAGATGACAATATTTTCTTAAATCACGTTTTTCAATGATATGGTTTTCAGGTATTTGAATGTCCACTGGGAAAATAAGCTATAAGAAGAGTTCCTCAAAATTGTGACTTAATAGCAAATTATAAATCTATATTATTATGGAGAGCAAAGTCACTGAGTAGAGGAAATAAAGCAATACTTACAGAATAATCAGTACTGACCTTGAAATTTACATATTAAACACTAAATAGAGCATGGAGTAGGAGCCAGTAGGAGCTTATAATTATAGCTGCATTAGTATGGCTTTAGACACTTAATTTAAATTTTTGACTTTTGTTGTTCTTTTTTGCAAACCAAGAGTAATCTTATCTGTTTGACTGAGTTATTAGTACAGTTACATGACATAATGAAAATGAATGCACACAGTATTATGTTTGACATATGGATGAATTCTGGGCCAGAAACAAATCTTGAATCTAAACTCACTTGACCCATTAAGCCACTGCACAATAACTAAAAAACACTGCAACTACAGCGAGAATACTTTTAGTCAAAATCAGTCACAGATATAAAAATATTATTGGAGCTCATAAAAATCTACAAGTAAGCTCTGTCTGCACATATTAAAAACAAGAGATACTATTAAATACCTGGATAGGTCATGGTTTTCAAATTTGACTATAGATTAGAATCACCAGGTAAATTTCAAAAAACTACTGGAGCTAATACCCTCAAGTTTGTGAATCAGTATTCCAAAATAGAGTACTGTCTGGATGTCCTAGTATGTACCTTTGTAGAAAACACTGAATGAGGGTAGAAAGTTAACTAAAATATAATTTTAAAGGGCGGGGGGAGAACATTCAGTTGGGAAATTCATAGAAAACTAACAGAATTGTGATGGTATTTTATACTATGAATAATTTTCAAATGCAGCAGCAATTATCTCTCCTTATATAAAAATTATGTAAGTAGGCTATTGCAATAAAAAATAAGACCCCAACAACACTGGTAGAGTAGTAATAGGCAAGTGTCTCTCCAAAGAATAACCAGAACCAACTATAACTCACATGTAAATCTTAGTAGCTCATCATCAGTGTGGATGGAATGACATTTATTTTTTTTTTCTCCTGATGTGGTTGATTGAGAGCAGAGAGAGGGTGGGCAGCTGTGGCCAATTTGTCCAAGGAGCAAAGTGTGAGAGGTCATCAACTCTGGTGTGCACAAACTAGCACAGGTGACTTTTAGAGTGAATATAAAATACTCGCCTGCTTGCTGACTGAGACCTGGGATAGAAGGATGAGTCCTAGCGGGTCGAACTGGTGATAATGGGAGTGATAATTTCTTTTTCTTGGATAACAAAACTTTCTGAGACTGGGAAAATGTAGCTATCCACATAAATACAGTGGTAGGGATCTTAAAAATAGACTGGTGGATTTGAGCTTTGTCAGGTCATTGAGAAAGAAGCAGTGACATGCATTTCCCTTGCCTATGTGTGCCACCGCCCTATGCTAAGACTGTGAATTCTGTTACCTAGTGGACTCCTCACTTTCTAACACTGCCATGGACTACTAAGATAAATAAGGATGAATTCATAACTACGCCACAGCATCATCTACCAGGGGAAAAATGACCAGTAACAGCAGGAAAAAACCCAGTGCAGGGGATAGAGAATTGAGTAGCTGAAAAAGAAAGACAAATCAACAAATACCAAGCATTATGACACAGAATTGGAAGAGCTAACAGAAAAAAAATATTTAGACGAACAAGCATGAAGAAACTCAATATAGTTCTAGATTCTCCATTAACCACAGAAACAATATCAGAAAAAAAATGTCCAGGCCCAGAAAGAAATCTTTATCAAAGAAATTGAAGCTATTAAAAAAAATTCCAAGTAGAACTGATAGAAATGTAAAATAAAATTCAAGAACTCAAGAAACGATGGAATGCTCTTACTAAGTTTGATCTTGTAGCACAAACAAAATAGAAGACAACTTAAGCAAAAATGGAGAGGTAAGATTTAAAAAAAATGACACTCTGTGTGAAATGTCAGAGTCCATTAGTAGAAGGAACACAAGGATAATAATTAACACAGAGACTGAAGAAAGAGAGAAGGGAATAGAGACACTATTCAGATAAATGATAACTGAGATTTCCCTAAACTTAAGAAAAGTGCTAAGTATCATGTTCCCTGACTTTGTACTTGAAAGAAATAGTAATACAAATAGTATGATATTAGATAAAAACAGAAATACAGACAAGTGAAATGATATCAAAAGGCTAGAAATAAACCCACACATATATTGACAATTTATGACAAAGGTACCTTGATTATTTGATGGGTAGAGAAAAGCCTCTTCAAAAAAACTGCATTGAGAAATTTGGACAGACATGCAAAAAAAGTAAAAACAGATCATTGTTTAACTCTATACACAAAAATAAATTTCAAATGTATTAAAAACTTGGACATAAGGCCTGAAACTGAAAAATGCATAGAAGAAACTATAGGTGATACATTCCTGGACATCAAACTCAGAAATGTATTTTGGCACTCAACTCTAATGGCAAGGAAATTAAAAGCAAAAAATAAAGAAACGGGAGTATATAAAACTTAAAATATTTTGTTATATTATTGAACCCTCCACAAAAAACAGTAGTATCTAAAAAGTATGATGATTTCTCATCATATATCCAATGAGGGTTTAATTTCTAAAATATGTAAAGAACTCATAAAATTCAACAACAAAAACCAAAAAAACAAATCTCAGTCAAAAAATGGGCAAATGTTTAAATAGACACTTCTCCAAAGAAGACATTCAGATGGCCCATAAGTATATGAAAATTTATCAATATTACTTATGACAAAGAAAATACAAATCAAAGCCACAATGACATGTCACCTCTCACCTATAATAACAGAATATATCGAAAAGTCTGAAAGCAACAAATATTGTTCAGGATATGGGGAAAATGGAACACTCATTCACTGTTGGTAGGAATATAAGTTAGTACAGCCTCTATGGAAATGATATAGAGATTCCTTAAAAAGCTAAAAATGGAAATACCATATGATCCAGTAATACCATTTCTAGGTATTTATTCAAAGACTATGAAAACACTATTACAAAAAGATTTTATATGTCTTTACTCATTGCAGAATTATTTACAAAAGCCAAGACAGAATCATCCTACATGCTGATTGACAGATGTCTGCATAAAGAAACTGTGATATATGTACTCAAGGGAATACTACTCAGTTAATCAAAAGGATTAAATTCTGCCCTTCATGACAATATGGTTGGAACATGAGGTGATTATGCTAAGTAAAGTAAGTCAGAAATTGAAAGACAATCTGATAATTTCACTCATTTGTGAAATATAAATGACCAAAGAAAACAAGCCAGCAAAACACAGTAAAAACAACTCTTAGATGCTGAAAAATATGGTGGTGATCATAGGGGAGTGAAAAGTAATAAGGTAGTATCCTGAAACTTTGGTGGCAGTGCAGCACATTCACATGTTGAGGTGTGAAACTGTACCCCCCTGAAAACACATCAATTTGTAAATGAATGGTTAATCTATACATTTGATTTTAATAAAACTATAAAAGTAGAATGAAAGGTGCAAGGAATTGTAGGAATAAGGAATTGGAAATATAGCTGACAGCAAAAAATATTTTATAAAGTGAATTATATCATGAAACTCTTTGTTCCAAACAATGGTACAAAGTTGATTCAACATAAATTTACATCTGCCAGATTAAAATGAGACCACTGTATGTTCTAGGGAATTTGGACAAATACAAAACATTTTATTCAGCACATCCTCACAAATGCTCTAGAATAAATGAGATCTGGTAAAAAACAAAAACAAAAACAAAAAAACCTGTCTATTTACCTATCTATCAACCTAGATGACTATCAATATAAGAGTGAAGGAGAGGCCTTTGACAAAAACTTCTGATTCTATTAACAGCACCAGAGACTAATGAACACTTGTTACCTCATTCTGTTCTTTTAGATATCATCCTGCAGTGTTGAGGGGCTTGCCACTATTTATAGAATCTGAAGTTCAGTTCCCTCTGCCTTTAGGAGGTTTAATAAGTCCCCATTTTGTGGAAAAAGATAGGTTTATTTTCAATGTATTGAACTAGAGTGTTTGATGCTGCTTTTTTCCAGCCTGCTCACAGCTATGTCACCTTATTTGAAGTCATACTTTAGTGTTCCCTAGATGTGTTCTGTTCTGCAGTTTTCACTCATAGTTGATTCTCTTCAATTTCACTTATCAAACCTTGATAAAAAAAAAGATGTTCAGCTATCTTTTATCTCTTGCACATGTCCATTCCAAAGGAATGACATTGAGGTGAATATGATGTCAATACTAACAGAATGTTTTGTACCCCAGGTGTTTGCAAATAGCCAATATCCTTTACTTTGTCTGAGAGGAGGCAAGATGCAAAATCATGTAGAGACAAGAATCATTTTAGACCTGAAGTGTCCCTAGGGATTTTCTCTTAGAGCTCCTCATTTTACCATAAGAATTATAAATATTCAAGACTTTACAGGATTTTTTTCAAGTACATCGTTAGTAACATAACTGACACTAGATTTTAAGTGCTGTGCCAATATCCCATTCCAGTACCACATTATTGTTATACTATATTATTTCCCTCCTGGCAAATGAGGATAAGAGACTATGAGAGAAAGTTGTTCTAGTAAAATGTCCTTTCTTATCAAGCATTAAAACCTATTAGTGAGGGTAATGTCCAAACACCAGTATTCAATAATAGCTTGAAGTTTTCAAGAGAACTTCCTACACATAAGAATGTGTGGCAGATTGACTGACAGGGTTATTACAGAGCTGAGACATCCCTAACAAGAACTAGATTTAAATAGAGTATATGGCAATTATGATGTGTCAGTGGCTAATGAGGCATTCTCTATTCTAAAGAAGAATCAATTCTAGGAGTCTTTAGAAACACTGATAAAACTGTATGTTCACACCAAAATCTGATACAACTCGTTCTGAACTTGGCATGATTAAACTAGTAAAATATCTCTTTTACCACATGTATAGATTTTTCAGTGAAATATCAATTTGATTAGGTCTCATGAATAAATCTGTGCACTAACAAAGAAAATTAGTCTTATCTGATCTGCAGTCTGTCCTATGTAATTTTATGGCATACAAAAGGGTTCAAAAATACTGTCACTAGTCTGTCTATCTGACTTCAAGGAAAGATGGTGGCAATGGCACCAATATGATTAAATTAGCATATAATTCTGCTGTCAGTATACCAGTATACGTGCATTTGTCCCAACAGTGTGGGTCTAATAGAGCTACCATGTTTTCCAAAGCCGTCTATAAATTTGCAACTTATATTCAATTCTCAGCTGTTATCAGTCTTGTATCCACATCAATCCAATGAAATTTCTCTCAATCATGTCACCATATCCTTCTGGCTTTCAAATTCAAGCATTACATTATATTCAGTCTCTCTGTAATGTTTTTAACATTTTCTTACTGAATTTTTTTTTCCTTCCTTGACTTCTAAAAAACTCTTGATAGTTTTATTACTGCCATAATCACTTTTTTTTTAAAAGACAGTCTGACTTTTTTTTTTTTAAGATTTATTTATTTTATTTATACAAGCACTGGGTACAGTCAGAAGCGCAGGAGGGTGAGAGAATTCACCAGAGCCAGAGCCTGGAGCAGAGCAGGCAGAAGGACCTAAGCACACTGCTGAGGGGAGCAGCGGGCGGCAGGAGAGGTCTGCTCGCCATGTGGGACCCTCCTCTGGTGGCCGGGGAGCAGCCGGGGATCGAACCGGTGCTGCAGAGGCTGCGGGCAGCTTCACAACTCAGTGCTAAACCGCTGCGCCACTGGGGTGGCCCATAATCACTTTATAACTTCCTGGATCCTTTTCCTTCATCTATCATTTACATCCTGATGTTCCCAGAAGACCATAGTTATACTATTTTTCTTTAGTCCCCTTTAATTAGACTCCTTAGTTTATTAGTCATTTGCACAACTATGGGTTTGCATATTTAAGATTATTTCCATGTAGTGTAAATATAAGCCAATCAACTATTTCTGTATGTCTATTAATATACCTACCTATATATCTACCTAATATATATTGACAGAGACTTCTTTTGCAGAGATTTTTCCTAAAATAAACACTTTAATCTCCTCTCCTGTCACCTATATTCCCCATCATAAAGAATATTATTTATTCAGTTCCCAAGCCAAAGATCTAGAAACTATCTTGAATGTCTTTTTATCCTCCACCTTGCATTCAATGGATCAAGTGGCTAATCAAAGTATTTTTTATTCTCAATCGTGGAAATAGTTTGCATACATTCTTTGCACTTCACATTTATTGCTACTACCTTATTTCAAGTACTAACTATCACTAACTTAGTTTTCAAAATATTTTTATTTATTTTTCCCCTCCACCAAACCACCCACATCCATACGCCATCTGCCTCTCCCCAGCCTTTCCATTGTCCCCCTGATAACAATTATCTTATTTTTGCAAAGTTCAAATTTTCCTTTCTTCTATTGTTTGTGTCTAATTGTTCTGTGGTATTTATATTCCACAGATGAGTAAGACCATCTGAAATCTGTCTTTTACTTTTTGACTGATTTCACTCAACATAATCACCTCAAAATCTATCCAGTTTGTCCCAAATGCCACCATTTCATTATTCTTCCATTGAATATATGCTCCACAGTTTCTGTAACCATTCATCTATTGGAGGACACTGGAGTTGGTTCCATAATTTGGCAATTGTAGACATGGGTGTAAATAGATTTCATATTAGATTTGTCATATTACTTGGATAAATACCTCACAGTGGTATTGCTGGGTGAAATGGAATTTCCATTTTTATTTTCTTGAGAAATGTCCATGCCATTTTCAACAGGTACTGCACCAGCTTGCATTCCCATCAACAATGAATGAGAGTTCCTTTTCACCACAACCCTGACATTTGTTAATTTAATTCCCTTTTATATAAGCCACTCTCACAGGGGTGAGGTGGTATCTCAGTATGGTTTTGATTTTGCATTTCTCTTATAATTAATGATGTTGAACATTTTTCAAATATCTAATGCTATCTGACTATCTTCTTTAAAGAAGTGTCTATAGAGATAAGTTGCCCATTTTTTAAATTGGGTTGTCTTTTTATTTGCTCTTGGATTGTGAAAGTAATTTATAAATTTTGGAGATTACCCTTTGTCATATGTATGATATGCAAATAATTTTTCCATTGTGTAGGTTTCTTTTCTTTTTTTGCGATGGTTTCTTTTGAGATACAAATACATTTAAGTTTGATATAGTCCAACCTGGTTTTTTTTGTTTTTGTTTCCCTTGCTATTTGAGTTGTATTCCTAAATATATCTTTGTGGTAGTGTCAATAGATATCCTATAGTGTATCCTCAATATGTTCTTTTAAGTGCTGCACGGTTTTTGTTCTTGTGTTCAAATCTTTAATCCATTTTGAATGAATTTTCTTGTATGGTGTTAAACATGGGTCTTGCTTTATTATTATTTTTTGGCGGGGGGGCATGTGGCTATTTATGTTTCCCAGCACCATTTATTTAAAAAGGCTATCTTTCCTCCAGAGTGGGGCCATAATTCCTTTGTTGAAAATAGACTGTCAATATTTATATGAATTTATCACCAGGCTTTCTATTCTGTTCCATTGGTCTGGGTTTCTGTTTTTGTTCCAGTACCATACTGTTTTAAATTCTGTTGCTGGAAAATACTGTCTAAAATAAGGAAGTGTGATGTTTCCAATGTTTTCTTTTTTCTCAAGATTATTTTAGCTATTTGGGGACTTTCATGGTTCCATATAAATTTGATAATTGTTCTATTTACCCAGTAAAAGTCATTAGTATTTTCTTTAAATCTGTAAATTGCTTTGGCTAACATGGCCAGTTTAAATATATTAATTTTTTCTTAACTATGAGCATGGGATATCTTTCCATTTCTTTGTGACTTCTTTTGTTTCCTTTCGTAGAGTTTTATAGTTTTCATTGTACAGGCCCTTCACGTCTTGTGTAAAGTTTATTCCCAGGTATTCCATTCTTTTTGGCATAATTATAAATGGAACTATATTCCTTATTTCCCTTTGGCCTGATACACTGTTCACTACAAAAATGCCACTGACTGTATTCATTTATTCTTTTTTAAAAAAAGATTTATTTATTTCTGATTACAAGAACTGGGGTACAGGCCAGAGGTGTGGGAGGTGAGATGATTCACCAGAGACAGAGTGGGGAGCAGAACAAACAGATAAGACCAAAGTACACTGCTGAGGG